GGAGGGGAGGAGAGGAGTAAAATATCTTGATTTCTGCCTTAATTTTTAATTAGCTCTACATTACAATTACTGTGCTCATCCCCAACAGGTTTATCATTAATCTCCCCATTTTTACTTATGATAGAAGGATTATTAGGAAGACAAACTTGTAAAATATGAGGTATATTCAAGGTGATAGAAAAGTCTTAATATTGTACCGTTTATATTGAGTTTATGTCTGACTTCTACACAAAAAAAGTCAGTTTCAAAAAGTATTCTAACTTAAATTATGCCTTTGTTCTGTTTTTTTTTTTTTTTTTTAATTAGAGTTTCACTGTGCAATTCAGGCTGCCCCTGAACTTACTTCGTAGCCCAGACTGGCCTCAAACTCTGAGCCTCCTGCCTTAGCCTCCTTAGTGCTGATGTTATAGGCACTCAGCCTAACCTGAATTACTAACTCAACCATTAGTTTCTTATTAATTATATTGCTCAGAAAACCTTCATTTCTTTTCTTTCAAATCTTTTAAACTAGTTACGCTAGTTTCCTAAACTCAAAGCTGTTAACCTAATTTTATTTTACTAAAATGCATGGAAATTTACAAAAGTAAAACCCAGAAAGAATAGTATTCGATGGACACCGAACACAGATTAAAATATTACTTGAAGTTACTTTTTATAGCTTCTTTACTATGAAGATCTGTTTCTTGCTTAAAGCTATAAAATTAAGCCATTGAGCTGGCCAGTTAGCTCAGCAGATTAAAGCGCCTGCCTAGGCAGAGTGCAATGGCTGGGATTTGATCCCTAACACCCCGCCCCTGGGGGCATGCTGAGACAGCTTGAGACTGGGGGTGGTGGTATGCACCTGTAATCTTAGCGCTTGGGAGGCTGAAAACAGGAGAATAACTACGAGTCCTATTTATGTAGTGTGACCCTATAAACCGTGTAGACACTGTCCTAAATATATTTAAATAATAATAATAAATAAATAATAAAAAAGCCATCTCACTTTGCATTTTTTCTTCTCATATCTATTTTTCCTCTTTTGATTCAAGTAGGCAGACAAAGACTAATATTGTCAGCAGATTTGGCACCACTGCTCAAGGATAAATGCTATTACCAAAAGGCTTCCCACAAAATTGTGTAACTTTAAATAAGTTTCAAAATGTTGACAAAGTTCTTAAAATTTCTTAAGTGTTTACTGTAAAACTGGCTGCTGAGATCTTTAACGAACTCTAACATATTACTTAACATGGCACCTAAAATAAACATCACAAAGAAATTAGCTAACTGGCGCTGGCCAAGGTAGCCTATGCCCATGATCCTACATACTCCAGAGACTGAGGCAGGAGGATTGTAAATTCAAGGCCAGACCAGAACAATTTAGCAAGATCATGTCTCAAAATAAGAACAAGTAAGTAATTAATAAAGAGAATCTCGTGTGGTGGTGCATGCTTGCAATCTTAGCGCTTGGGAGGCTGGGCCAGGAGGACAGCCTCTAGTTCAAGGCAGCCTGGGCTACACAGTTAGTAATTTAAAGATCAGCTTTAACTACCTACTAAAGCCCTATTTGAAAATAAATAATAAAATAAAACAAAATGGGTTGGGGACCCAGTTCAGTGGTAGAATCCTTGCATAGGTTGTCCCATGTTTCCAATTTCATCGTCGGTACCAAACAGTTTAGAAAAGAAATGTAAACAGCATAAAGAAAAAAACAAAGCTTCCACACTCTCTTTATAAAAAAAAAAAGGAAAGAGAAAAAAAAAAAATAGGTAACTTGGGCTATCAAATTTCCTTCTTTGCAGGGTAATTTCAGTTACTTTTTGTAAAAATTATTTTTATATATGAATTCTTATTTGTAAGCCCTTATTTAATTTTGGTTTTTCTGTTTTCTTTTTACTCTCATGGACTGAGATTATACGCATGTGCCACCCATGCTTAGCTTGTTTTGACTTTGTATTATCATCTCTGATCTTCACTTTATTCCTTTACTGTGTAAGACCTTTTATTAGCACATGCTACTAATTCTTAATGAGGCCAAAGCAAGAAAGAGGAATTAAGGCATATCTGTAATTAGCTGACAACACAATATTCCACATGTATGCAATAAACTGAATGCATCGAATTTGCCATTAAAAGCTAACATTTTACAATTTTTTATGTTAATCATGACATTAAAGATAATTCTGGTAGTAGTTTCTCTAAAAATCAATGGTAACAAACATAAATTAAAGTACATAAATTAACCAAACTTACGGTCTGTGAGACTAGCAATCCCCGCAAGAGTAGTTATGGGGACATGGGGCATATCCCCATTCATTCTGAAGTTCTGGAATGGTGTTGCCTATAAAAGTACTTAGTTCAGGTGCCAGCAGTCATTACTTCCCATTTCCCAAACACTGAAATACACAACAAACAAATAATTATTTGTAGAAATACGTCAAATATATTACTATTAGGGAAATGTTTAAAACATTATAGCAGTTTCACTTCTGTTTGTTTAACCCATATAACAGTAACAATCATTCATATACCACTTTATATATACAAAGCACTGTGAAATGCTTTGTATATGTTAAGTGATTTAGGTCTCAAAACAATCCAGTAGGTATTGTTTTCTGCATTTTACTGATATGAAAATTTACTTACAGGACATTTAAAGAAACTAGGAAACCAGATTAGAACGCAAGTGATCTCACTCCAAGGTCCATTTCCTAATTAGTAGGATGTATTATTATGAAGGGTAATCAAGCAATTTGATTGAGCACAGACTTTTTTTCCACATTATAAGCACAGCAAAATTTAACTTCATTATCTAGTTTTGACTTGCACTTTGGCTATGTTTCTTACCATTCTCTTACATAAACCACACTCTCAAACTACATATTTTGTTGAGAAATTTTCCCTACCTAGAAAGCCCATCCCTATTCAAACTCTTGTAATTCTTCAAGACCCAGAGGAAGTACTACTTTATGAAACTTCAAATTTACTCCAAGGTCATCTTACTTAATCTCTGCATTTATTTTTTTGCTTAATAGTCTTTTAAAACATGGTTTTACAGTGCATTTCTCTGTGACATTTTCAAACTTTAAAAAAAAATTGTACTCTTGCATGATTATTCAGAGTTCACATATTTACCTCATCTTTCCAGCTGTCATTGCAGGATGCTTATAAAAATCACAATCAATTATCAATCACATAAAAGAAAGGTATATTTTTAAATGTTCCTATACAAAGGACTTAATGTAAATTCTTATTATATTTTATGATGGAATTCGTTGCTCTATGTATATAAAGACAGCCAATACAATTACTGACTATCTTGTCTTCCACTCATTGTCAACCAAATTTTTCTCAGCTTAGTTTCAATATACGGCTAGTGAAATACTTATTTTTAAATAATACTTATCTAAGTTTTCTGTAAGTAGATAATAGTTTAATAAGGCATACATTAATGATATGCATTCATTAAACATTTTACCAACGAATCAGGAAATAGAAGTATAGTCTGTATCAACTACAAGTTAAAATAGAAAAGTGAATCACAGTTTCTAGTTTAAATATTTCTTGATACTGTATTTGCCAGTATGTTATTTTTAAGATAATTTTTATTTTTTTAGAGTTATAATCTTAAAACAGTCAAATCATGCATTTCCCTCACTCTTGTACATCTTAATGCAATTTTGCAAATAAGTTGTTTTAAAAAGTAGATGTACACAGGCAGTTAACACTATTTCCTTTTCTCCCAATATTTTTTATTATAAATGCAACATATTGACAAAGGCACATCACACACACACACACACACACACATACACACACCCCTTACAGTTTAACAGGGTTATAAAATTAATATCTATTAAACCATCATCCATAGTAGCAGTTCTTTTTAAAGTAACAACTATCCTGTCTTTTTTGTTAATTCTTTTCTTTATATAATGGATTTTCTTCAGATATTCTTTTTTATTTATTTGGTACAGGGTCTTGCTACGCAGCTCAGACTCATAGTGATCCTCCTGTCTCAGCCTCTCCAGAGCTGGGATTATATGTGTGTGCCACCGGTTCTGGTGGCTGGTTCAGTGTGGAGCCAACACTGCATGTGGTACCAGGGATCGAACCTGGGTCCTTGCACTTGCCAGGGAGGCACTTAGACCTCTGAGTTATCTCCCTAAACCCTCTTGATATATTCTTAACTAAAGCCAAAATAAGAAAAACAAAACAAAAACTCATATTGCTTTCCCTTTGTGTGTGACTAATATAAAGTTTGGAAGTAGAAGCCCACTGAAAGAAAATGGCATGGGAAAAATGACAAAATTATTGCTGGCTATCCTTTTTCTTTTTGCTACCCTGTGGACTTTGTTCTTTGAAATATACATCTCATTTTGTATCACTGAAGAAATTTAATCCACTATATGAAGTCCATGGTTTGATTTAATCCAACAGGAATATTCAGTAATCACATCAAACACTTTAAAAATAGGCCATAATTTAAAACCCCTTGAAAGGTTGCCAAAACACAATGAATATTTCAATCTTTATGCTAATTAGAAAATTCTATCTTACACTTAGTAATTAATGGAAAGAAATCATTGAATGCAAATTTCAGGACATCACAAACATCTTATTATGCATGTACAATTCAAACTGAGGATTTAGCTCAGCAGCACAGTGCCTGCCTGGCAGGCATGAGGTTGTTGAGTTCAATTCCTGGTAACAAAATAAAACATATGTATAGTTCATTATTATATAAGTAAATCGCTATATTCAAGCACATTCAGCAGCAAGTGACTATTTAACTCAGAAATTTAAAGGGTAATGTGCTAAAAGGTAGACTACCTAACTTTATTCTGTTACCCTACATCCCAGATTAGTAACATTTAAATTAGATCTAATTCTAGGCTAGAATTTTTAGCCCAAAACTGACCTATGTAATTAGTTACCAAATAAGAGATACAATATTTCACTTAGTATTTACTAAGTGAATACTTAGTAAATCCAACTATACTGTTTTCTTAGTGATATAAGGAAAATGAATACTGTACTCTGGTGTCAACTCTAAAGTGAGAGTAACAAGGAAAAGGGAGGGAAGCAACAATGGTTTATTGTTTTACCTATATATTAATGAGTAGATGATTACTGACAACAATACTTATACCTTTATGATCAACTATACTAATTTCACTGAAATCTAAAGAGTTTGAAAATCAGCAGAGAGATTTGGGAGACATGGACTTCATATTTTTAGCTACAGATTTTAATGAATGAATGATCTTGTGGGAATGTTACCACCTTTTATTGGAAAGTAACCAGAGTCTATTAAAAAACAGCCTTCCTAAAAATAAATATATATCACTACCTAATGACACAGCACTTCTGCCTCTAGAAAGTTAATGTTTGGTCTATCTGACTCTGTGACAGTATACTGCATGAAAATTATTATCTCTGTGGAAGTAGGAACTGAAGGAAATTGCAATCAAATGATAAAGAACATTTTAATGAGTGACTATGAACTGCCACTTTAATGTTGTATTTTACAAAACGAGTGACTACTGATTGGTAGATTATAAAATGAATTTAATATGTTAAGATCAATGGAAGGAAAAGAAACATAAGAGCATATCATACATTGCCTTGAGTCTAGGTATTATGTATCTTGTATTATGTGGGTTACCAGGTAAAATGGTTTGAGAGGTGATTTCAAGAAATGGAAGACTGAGAAGCGCCAACCTCGTAAGTGGTGATGAGAACAAAATAAAATAATGCACCCAAGTAATGTGATGTACTACTTGATAGTCAATGATCCAGAAATTTGTTACTGTTGCTATACTGAAAACAGATTAAAGAGAAACCTATGTGAATTAGGGAAAAGGTGAATTAATATGGCAGTACATGTTTCACCACAGTCATACAAATCATAGTTACAGTTTTAGATGTACCCATCTACACTGGCTTAATATGGTAGTACTACAAATAAAAAGTAGAAAAAACCCTATAAAGAAGTACATAAAATAGGTGTTCTTTTTTTAAAAAAGACAAACAAGTAACTATATTAAGTAAATCAAACAGGAAATGAGAGTAAAAATCATTTCAAAATTAATTTTAAGAATGGCCTGACGTTTAATTAAAAGAATGTTTAACAAATATTTTTTTCTTTCTTTCTTCTTCTTCTTTTTTTTTTTTGCGGAACTGGGGATTGAACTCAGGCCCTTGCATTTGCCAGAAAAGCGCTTATTCCACTGAGCCATCTCCCTTGCCCCTTAAAAGAATGTTTAGAAGATGTTGTAATAAATTCTCAATTTAGCACATTATAATGAATTTGAAGGGAACTTCTAAGGTCTTGCCAACATATTTTTAAAGACCCTAATCTACAGTTCACTTAATTTCACTTCAAAATTCATGATTTCTTTATATAAATAAAAGAAATGAATAACATACAAAGTGGTGGTATAAGTTATAATACTAACATTTAAGTTGTGATCAATTTGGAATAAAATAGCAGAAAGTTGATAAACTTCTGGAGGACCATTTTACATCCCATTG